CTCTCTCTCTCTCTCTCTCTCTCTCTCTCATGTCTCGAGATAAAATTTGGGAATCTTGACAAGCGAGAATATTGGCCCATCGAGTCGAGAAAATTGTATCATTTGTTTATGTCGAGCCTAAATCTCTGAATCGGTATTTTTTCGTCTCGTCTCGCTCGAATGCGTCACTACTATGATAAAATGATATTGTCACGTTATTTAACAAAATATACGTATGTATGTATCATTTCATTGTCAAAGTTGGTTATATTGTATCACTGTATTGAGATATTTTAATGTAAAGCAGCTTTTAGTATGCACAGGTCCAGCGTAGTGCGAGTGATCGAATTCACCATTAGATTTAATTATGGTTGTAATTGTATAAGATTAATAAGAAAATCGTAGAGTATTCTTTTTATTTCATTTCTGTTATTTTAACATTAACTTTTCTATACATATACAAAATATATGTAAATTTTCATGTAAGAGAATCTGGAAAAGAGTATCCTTCATGGGAAGTGTCATAGTAATTAATGGATAAAGGGTACCCACATATTTGCATCATTAATTAAGGGTGGTGTCGAGATGAATTTATTCCAAACAGTAGTGCATGGTGTTATAATAGTAATAACGTTCAACGTTTTGCATCTGTTACATGTAACGCACAGTTATTTGTAGATATTTATTATCCAAGGTTTTAATGTCGATGCCGGATCAGGTTATTGTCGTCCTACTTGGAAATTATCCAGAGTACGACACTTACCGTTTTAAGCGAGAGATCCGCAAAGAATTATGACTACACACGTGGCCAATGGGCATTGCTATCCGCAGTCATATATTCGCGTTAAGCCCGTTCCAATCTCGAGCTTCCGAAACTGTTAAAATCTGCGCGTCTCTCGACAGAAAATCGATTTGTGAATTATGTCGAGTTCGCATGACACGCCGTTTCATATAGACCCCCCCCCTCCGATGAAAAAAGCCTTTCGCGTTCCCTTAGCGAGGGTGAACCATCTAAAAACGGTTATATGAGAATTTTATTGAAGTGCAAAAAGAAGAAAATAAATACATCATGCCTGTTATACAATACCGCGCGCATACAAAATAAAAAAAAGAAACATTCATCTTTAAAAAGAATTCTTTAATATTTTCAAATTATTCTATATAATAAATGTTAAAAATGGTGTAATAATAATGATAATATCAAAAGAGTCAGAAAACGTACAATATCATGCCGCAGATTTAGAATCGGTGGTAATTTATTTCCTCTCCCTTCGCCCCTGAGCTTTATATACAGGGTGTTCGGTAAAGACTGTTATAACACTTTATGGGTAGATTTCTAAGATAATTTTGAAATGAAAATTCTAATACCAAAATATCGAAGCTATAATAGATTTTAAATTATAATTATTTAAAATTAGCAAATCATATTGCCTAAAGTTCGCGCGTTTAAGTGTGGTTGACATTTTGCATTTTATTACATTGAACATGCGAACTTAAGCGGTATAATTGGCTGACTTTAAATACTTATAATTCAAAATTATTACAGCCTCGATATTTTGCTATTAGGATTTTCGTCTCAAAATGATTTCAGAAATTTATCCTTAAACATTGTTATTGGACATCCTGTATAAGTAAATTTCAGTTATATAAAAAAATTATTCTGTTTATATTCTCAGGAAACTGAGTTATATGTTCATTGTTCTTTAATTTATTTGAGTTATATTTGTCAAGTCGAAAATATTAGTCTAAAGTCTAAAAAAAATAAGAGATTATATGTTCTTTCTATATTTCCTTGCAATAAATAAAATATTATTTAACAAAGAGATATCGTGATACATTTGTTTTTAGCACTCGTGACTCTTTTATATATTCAATTCTCCACTTGTTATATAATTCTATTTGTTACAGGTGAGTTTTCCCAGAATACAATAGATTCTTTCGTTTTCTCTCGTTTTCTTTCTTTCCTCCGTTCCGCGCGACAAACCGCTGGCACGCTTGCCGTACTCGCATTTCTGCTGGGTCAGTTCTTCCCCCTTTTCGTCCTGACCTACATCTCGAAGGCGCCTCCTCGTAAAACCATTGCACGAACATCCGATTCCGTTCCTCCCGGCCGCGAAGCGTCTATGATTCACTACGCGTTTTATCGTTTCGTTCCTTCATGCCGGCAACGCACAGGAGACACGAATGCATAATTCCTACATCTTGCATTTCCTTCTTTCTGGTAAAAAGGACTGCAAAATTCTTACAAGATTCACGTGCAAGACTGAAGAGTCCATAATGATGCCACATAAACGAAGGAAAAGCAAAAGTACATGGAAAGAACGGTTTTGCTGAAATAAAAATTTAGCTAGACGCAGATCTAAAAATAAATTTGTTAAACTAAAATAATTATGTGGGATGCTCAAGCTAATTGCTAGAATATCATTACTTTTTTGCAGTATTGTTCATCATGCTTGAATTTCCCACATAATTAGTTTGATTGTCTAACAGAATTATTTTCAGATCTAACTAAATTTTTTAATACTTTGGCAAAATCATTATTTTCGTATAGAGAAATGCAAGAAAAGGAATTAATTTAAGAAAATTAGTGATAATTGTTGCACACGCATGCGTTCATACACAATTAGCATGCGAAAACGGATGTATAATCGCATTCAAGAATAAGGACATTTCCTCCTTTCAATTAACTAAGCCGATCTGGCCTCTGACAATCCTCTGTTACTTCGAGATTATTTAAGTCCGTAATAACAGAGCTACCACTGCTGCCATGCTTTGCCGTTATATCTATTTTCGACGACAACTACAAATACCATCCTCGTCACTCTCGTTCTCTTCACCGCCACCCAGTGTGTTGTGAGCGTGCAAACACACGCCGAAATTTAATTACTCTCCGCGCGGATACCCACCGAAACTCCTCTTCAGCTCGTAATAATTTCGTCGGAAGCTCTGGATAATGCTGGGAACGAGGAGTATCTGAGAAAGTCACTCGTCCTCTTCGCTCTCACCTGAGAAATTCACCGAGACGGGGATATTCTAATTCCCCGCTTCTTCTCGTCGCGCTTAATCCACATCGTTTTATACGCCGCGTGTTAGAGACGATTAAACGAGCTCCCATTTTTATACCGAGACACCGACAGTAATAAGAACTATATTGGAGCTGTTGCAATTAAATTTGACTCTGACAAACAAGCATCGCCATAATTAAGTGTCGTCTCATGAGATATTAACATATATAAACAGGAACGTGACTCTAAGAAGAAAAACAGAATCGTCTATTTCTCAAATATCACGTGCAATTAACGAAATTAATTTTTGATATCTTATAAATATCATCTTCATAATCATAGGAATACATCATATTTTTCATGCAATTTATGCATGTATTAATTGAAAATTTAGATTTAACGCCTCATTTTTAGAAAAACTAAATTCGTCTCATAATTCCAAATGTTACCTTTTTAAACGGCAGAGAAGAAAAAGAATGCATTTCTTTGAAAATCGATGCGCCTTAATTTTCCTAAATGCGGTTTTTGAAAAACATGGTAACGTTTGGAGACATGTGCTAAAATTTGAATACAACGAGGCTTCTTTTTACCGAGAGCAACAAAGTCCCATAGCGCGAGTCACGTACGACCTAAATTACCCGCGTGCACAGCGTTAGAATTACTCCGAATGTTTGAAGCCACATGCCGATTACAAGTGTAATGTCGTAACGTGTTGAAATGATGAAACTTGAAGAGTGAAACGCGAAATATCTCGCGAATATATCTGTAGCAGTGTAATTACTAGAAAATTTACGGTAGCATTGTATTAATTAACTGGTCTATTATTGGCCTATTACTAGTATAACTATCCTTTTTACTCTATTATTTTGTTGTTTTTTTTATATTTAACTTTAATAAGTATTTTTACATACATTTAATAAATATTTTTGTAATAATTATTTTTTATAAATAGTAAAGTGATTAATCTTTATATTTATTCACTCTCGCATGACAGCGCTGTATTTCCTCAGTAATGTAAACCTGCGGTTTTAACAGTTGTGAAATCATTATTAACTCGAGAATGCGTTTACATACGTTACAATTTACTGTAATGAATATTATAATGAGAATTTTATTACAATGAGAATCATATTACACTTATTATGTAGTGTTATCATCACACAATTAAATTGCGAGCGATCGCTATAATTCTATATATTTAATAATAATTAAAATTTTAATTCTTTTGAAATTTTTTTAACGTAATATTAAAGATCGAAAAAATCTTACAATGAATTAATGTCAAGTCAAACTCTATGTACTCTAATAATTATTTGTTTTAATTTTATATGCAAGAAATAGATTTAAAATTTCCTGAAGCTTAATTATACAATTAATATTCTTTTAACAAAAACTATTCTTATATGCTTGCATAAAATGGGTTTTTAAAAACACATGCAACATTACCTTCACGCCGAATGTATATGGAGACGATTAAAGATTTGCATAATACGTTTTTATATTACACCCTGATGTCTTTTACGTAAGAGTCGTACTGTATGTAAAATGACTTGCATCGTGCAATGATATTTTGCATCATTCAGTAGATTCTTAGTCCTTTCAGTTTTATTGTGTACGCAACTTATGTTCCATCTGCTTATATCAAGACAGTTTTCCATAAATTAATTTTTAATACATCATATGCTACGTGCTTATCTTTAGGAGATTTTAAATGAAATATAAAAAAGAAACATTCAACATTTTAAAAATAATCTTTTATATTTTTCAATTAATCTTAGAGTCTTTATATCAATATGCCTTATATATTTATATAAAAATTTACTTGAAATAAATCAAACAATAATAAATGGATTCCCGCCAATTAACAACAAAAATAAACAAATAATGAGGGAATGTGGGCGGAGTCAGTGCGAAACGTTTTTTTTTTGTAAAATAATTTAATACAAATTATATTATTTTATAAAAAACACATTAAAAATACATTTACTTAAAATACATGTTATTAATCAAATAATTTGTAATTGTTCTTTGTGCGCATTGATTTCCGTGCTGACTCCTATTACCCTATTAATTATTTACTTGTTTTACTTGAGATAAGTATATCTCCATAGTAAGCGCGCATAAACTAATGGAATAATCTGCATTTCCTATTAATGAAGGATTTTAATCGACCGGAAAACTCCAACAATTTATAACAAAATGTGTCGGAGAGTCTTCGTGTAATCATGACAAATATACTTCGAAAATGTGATATATAGACTGGTCCAGCGGTACCTTATTGTAGCCAAGTACATGAAGGATCACACGAGTATCTTCATCGTATCCTACATCCCTCATTCCTTATCGACGCAGGGACTTTGCTTTGGATTTTAACTAGAATAGTAATTTTCTCCAATGTTCACTCACTACAATTTTCCTTTACTCTCATCTTTCCCTTTTAATCCTTATTCGTTTTATCCAGATTTATGCTGCGTGATCTCGTCGCGTGCAGAAGGTAGAACTATACATATATCTGGCTACCAGACATAAAGTAATACAAACGATGATTCGCTAATTAAAGTCATAAGAGGTTAATTTATCATATCACTACCCCAATAGCATGTATATATAAAGCTATGTGTTAAATTGCATTTTGAGTACGGAAGCTTTAATCTCTAAGTACGTAATTACGTTCAGCATTACGTAGACATGTTCTAAAGATATATTAAATATTTCAATACGCGCATACAATTTTTAGAATTTAACCCTTCGACGCTGGGAAGCATGTTCTGATCTCTTATTTCAGAAACTATTGGCCCTATTTTTATAAAACTTGGTATACAAAGTGCTTTTGGATAGTGCTTTTTTCGATTCTGAAGTCAAAAATTTAAAATTTAAAATAGCAGATCCAATATGGCCATCGTCACGGCCGAAAAATAATGGCCGTTGGGTCAGGGCCATTTTCTGCGCCGATTAACCCTTATTGTTCACGCGACCCTGCGAATCGCGTAAATCCTCGCAGATCGCAAATCTTTACTCGCTATGGCGCGTAATATGTACAATTTGGAAGGAGACTTCGGTATTGTCTGCAGCCTCTTGGTTATTTTGGATGGCTCATGATATCAAAAGAAGCTCCGCCACAGCGGCTCCATAACTTAGCGTCTTATCCACGACCACCTTCCCGCTCCCTATAACTCCAATTCTCCGCCGAAAAAAATGTGTCGCATACCTGGAGTTTCTTGCTCCCACAATTTCTCCAGTAATTAGTGTGCGATAACAACAAGGCTCAATACAGCAGCATAGCCAAAAGATATACGGAATCATATGACCTGCGTGTACCCAGCTCCCGGATGAAGCGATCAGCATGGTATCGTAGCTTTTTTCTTCTCGAAGTAGATCTTCCTTCTCCTGATGGTAGATGAGATGATAAAAGTACAAAAAGAATAGCGCAACCATCGATCACGATCCGTTATTGGAAAATCTAAATGTGGAATTAGACTAAAAAGTGTAATTTATAATCAAACAAATTAAAGAAGCGAATAATTAGCGTACGCTCGCTTGCACACTCGCCCTCCGAGTCGAGAGGACGCAAAATCCCCACAGAATTGTCGCGACAATGGCAAACAAAAATTGCACGTCACAGAAAGTATATATAATAAAAAAATTTATATTAATGAACCGAAATACATACTGCATTAATTATATTTATTTAATAATTTTGTTACGATAAATGATCAGTTTCAATCCAAATAATAATACTGACGAACATATCTCTTCATGTTATATATGTTGAAAACAGAAATAGCAGTTACAGTAGAATAAATGTCGAAGCGTTAATTAAAGTTTCTTAATATATTACGCGACGGAATTAAATTATCATTTAATTAACACATAATTCAAGCGAATACTGTAATTAATTACAAACTACATATTAAATTCGGATTACTGCATTCAAATTCCGTTTCCTATCTCCATATGTGCAATTTTAACTAACGTTCAAAAATATTTTGAAAATAGTCCAAAAATAATAAGTAATTATTTTAAAATGCAGCGAAGAAATATTAATAAAAAAATAAAAATTTTAATTTGATTTTTATTTAAATTTTCTTATTAAACAGATATATTATATTTTCTGATATGTTAATTATGAAGGACAACTGTAGAATGAGAATTCGAAATAAATGGCTTTAATTAAAATATTTCATATATTTTTAAAGAATAAACATTAAAAGACTAATTATATGGAAAATAGGATCCCGGTGAAATGAATTGGTTTTCACGTAGGTTATAGCCTATAATGTGATGAACAAAGAATGTTATAACAATTAAGAAGACACATAACGAGCGACGGAAAAGGTCAATGACCTTGATCTTCTTAAGGATCAAAGTCAAGATCAAGGTTATTCGGAGGTCATTTGGGGCTGGCTGAGAAAAGGGGAAGTTTTACCTTTTTATTTATTTATAAAATTTAAGATTTGATATATAAGAATAACCGTTTAAGTTCGTTAATCGTTATTTTCCAAATTTTATAACGGTTAATTTCTAAAGTTATTTCTCAATAACGGTTACTCACAGTAACAGATAAAGAAATAACGCCCATTACTTCAGTTCGCAGTTCGCTTAATTTTCAAGTCTTACTACTTATATTTTTCCTACAGTTGCGAACCAAAACAAACGCATGTACATATTTTGTAGCATGCATGATTTGATTTATTCTAATGGTTATAACATTTTTGTGCTTTATTTTTGTGGATTCGTTAGCATGAACTATGATTAATTAATTTTTTTTAAGTGAATAATTAATTAATTATTCAAATTTGTATTTACAAATAAATTAAATAATTGGCAACGTAACAGCTAGAATCTGTTGTTAATAATCAACAACTAAAATTTATTATTAATAATCAATGTATTTGTACTAGGTACATACATATAGTTAATATATTGTATGTAGTATCTACACTAAACTAATCAGAAGTCAAAGTCAATCAAATTGCAACACATAAATAAAAATTAATATATTAATAGAGCTTTCTTTAAATAATCTATAATTTGCCCTTCAAATTTCAAGAGAATTTAATTTGTAATTTTATATGCCATGCATAATTTCGATACACGTATATATGTGTCATTTATTATATATTTTATACATGTATATTTTTAAAGCTTTTCATGCTTCGCCGCATAGAAACAAATGTATGTTAATTAATTAATTTTTTAATTATTTAAAATATCATAATAAAATAAATGCCGTACCTATATTTTCATTCATTGTTTCTGAAATTATTTTTTTAATTAATTATTGAATTAATTTTGTTAAAGTTTTACCATTATTATCGAGTATGTTTTTTAAATTGTTCACATCACTCAATTTCGATATTAAAATCAATAAGTAGCAATTATTAAGAGTAAAACTTAACCTCATAAATTATTTATTTCCTAATGAAGATTCTTAATGAAATTAATCATTATCTTATTATTAGGCGAATTGTTTAAGACATCGCAGATAAAAATTTTCTTATTTATAAATACGTGAGTACATCATACTTGCGAGATGTAGGTATATATGATGTATTTTATTACAATTCATACTTTATTTTATTTAATATCTTAAAAAAACCTATATTGTAATTGTAAATTATAACACAGGTCAACAAGGTTTTGTTGTTGGGAAGCTGTGGGTCATTTCCGACGTAATTTTCTGCGTAGAATCCGAATCTGAAATCAGAATTGGCCTATCACGTCAGGATTTTGAGATATTTGAGGATATATACTCGAAAAATGCGTTTTTTTGCTATTTTCGAAGTTATGATCATTAGAGTTTTCCACGTCTAGTGAAGAAAGAAAAACCGATATTTGTCAATAAACAAACAACTTATTATTTTTTTTATACACACCTGCAAAATATCCTTTTTTATGCATTCAGGTGCTTCGTTTATCGAGCGAATTTCGAGCATCCTAAAACTTTCAGCGAGAAAGTTGTTCATTCGGATATGAACAAATGTTCTGGAAAGTTTCATTTTCATTGCATTAATAAGTTTAAAACTAATGATTTGTTTAAAGTTGGTAGACGCCTTGCACTCAGAGCCGCAGCGCACAAGACGCGCTGTCCGTTATTCAAGGTCCTAATATATAAACAGTCACAATTGTGACTGTTTGCTGTCTTAACAATGGCCCCGCGTAAGTGTTTAAATGATCCTAACAGTTTTTGTTATATTTGTGGTCGTTTCACGTTTGTTAAGAACAGGAACGAAAAAGACGGGAAAAACGGTTACGCAAGTGGGTTAAAATGCCCGTAACTTGGCGAAAAAAAATCGTAGGTAGTTGATCAATATCTCATTTTGAAGGGTAAGAATATTACTAAATGATGCAAATAGCACAAAAGACCCAAAAAATTGGTTGCGTCCTGTACATAACCTCTAAAGTAGCATAAAAACGCATTTTTCGAGTATATATCCCCTAATATCTCAAAATCCTGACGTGATGGGCCAATTCTGGTTTCAGATTCGGATTCTACGCAGAAAATTACTTCGGAAATGACCCACAGCTTCCCGACAACATCCAAGACCCCCTTTTTTGTAGACCTGTGTAATGATTCGTTTAACGAACGCAATCATCGTACACTGTTAAATCTATAGTG